AGAATATTGCTGTGTCCACTATGTTGCTTTTCTATATCGCTGACTGTAGTTCGGTAAATTGTTGTTGACCAAGTGATCGTCGGAAAGAGTTGATGTTAAGTCTCAGATTAATATAAATTCACAAATATACAATTATATATAACAAAATATAATATAATATATACAAATAATAAAATCTAAAGCAAGTCTCTACCTTAACAAAAAATTAAAAATAAAAATTAAATTAAATATTCAATATTTGTCAATTTGAATTTGATTTAATTTAAAAGTTCTGTATTTTTGGGCCCCCTCTTTCCCTCTCTATAACTAATAGTAGCTAGTCTTAAATTAGTTTGCAAATAGAAAATTAAGAGATGATTTGCTACACTCAGGTAGTTATACAAGATATAATAGATAGTTTAAATTAATATCACTTTGATATAAATCTGTAACTAATCTTATCATATATACAGCAAATTCAAAATAAAAAAAATAAAAAAAAAAGTTTTGTATTTAAATTTGATTTAATATTAAATATTTATTTAAATTAAATCAAATTAAATCAAATTATAAAACCTTAATAGTTAGCTCTTTTTACTTTAATATATATTTTCTTTTTTTTTATTTTTTTATTATAAAATAATATATTTTTACAGTCTAATCTCATTATAGTTACAGATATACATGCTGACAAAATTATTTTAGGTTTTGGAATATGAAATTAAAATTTGAAGATGAAATTGTTTTTGATCTATTTTACTTAAAAGATGAAATTTTTTGACACTTTTTTTGAAGAGACAAAATTATAAGAAATATAATTACCTAAATTAGATTTGCTCTTGCATATAAAAAATTTTAAATTGCTCTAATGGAGACAAAATAAGAGTTTTTTAAAAATCTATTTTGGTGACATATATAGTTACAGGTCTGGAAAACAAAACTTAGATAACTATAAAAGATGTAATTACATAAAAAACCTTTATATAATCACAATTATAATAAATAAAAAATTTAATGATTATAAAAAGATGGTTTAATTGATAATTCTTCAGTGAACTAAAGAAGATTATAGTATAATGTGATGCAGTTTTATATGTAAATCACTATAGATACAAAAGAAAAATTTTTTTAGTGATTGTTCAAAGAAACTTTTTTGTATTAAGTTAATCATCTTTGAGTCTTTAAATAAAGTTATAAAGCTTATTAAGACTAATTTAATAGTAGTTAAATCATCTAAATCAGCTTAGTGAATGTCAAGATATCTTTGAAAAACTTTTTTTAACTAAATAAAAATTCTTTGTATTGTTTTTAAAGAATTTTATATAGTAAGCAAAAGGGTTTTCAAAGATATCTTGATATCTTCTAGGCTGATTTGGATAATTTAACTACCATTAGAATCATTTCAATGAGTTTTACAACTTTACTTAAAAACTCAAAGGTGATTAACTTAGTACAAAAAAGTTTTCCTTGGACAATCATTAGAAAAATTTTTATTTTAATTTTTTTTATTAACTAGCCTCTTTGGCATGGAGGTTTTTATTCAAGTAAATATTGGCTGTGGGAGGCTTATAACAGAACTTCAAATTACATTAGAGAGTACAACTAGCTATATGTGCGCCTTTTGAGCGCCTATTTAAGTAGTCTACATATAGATAACTGTACATCATAGGTTTTACACTAGCTGCCATACCTGTAACCCAACTAGGGGATTACCTATTTAAACCCTCTGTAACGCAACCAAACCCTTACTTGTTATGTCACTAGAACATCTCTGCTATATTTGTCAATTGAAAAGTACTAAATGCTTGCTATAGCCTTAGGACTAATTTATCCTCGAAGCATTGTTGCTAGAGCTTTCCATATCTACAATATGGCTAACCTAAACTTCGGTAACTTATGCCAAGTCTGAGAATAAGTACTTGCGAGCTGAAGCCACTACTGTTACCTACTACTGCTCTTGTAGAGTTCACCCAAAACCCAGCATCCACTTTACAGACTCTCTACTATTTCTCTGTTCTCTAAACTCCCAATCCAAATAGCCTGAAAGGGCAGAGCCCTTTTCTGAAATATACCAGCAGCCTGGTTGGTATAGTGCCTTGCTGAACATCTCGGTCTTGTCCGGTTTCCATTTTTTCAGTTGATAATCCTTTACGTAGCACTATCGAAAGTCTGCACTATCTTTCTACTCAGAACTTTCCAAGCAGGATTCTGTATATTTCAGCCCTTAGATTTACACAAACGTTTCACTTGGGTTTTGTATAATGCATACATCATACTATAGTTTCACGTTTTTCTAGTACAAGCTAGTATGACCAAAGCTACAGATCCAATAATCTATCAAATTACACAGTCTGCTGTAATAGATTCTGTAAAATTCGAATTTCATCACCAGTAGGATTTAAACTTTTGTCCTGCTGCTTGGGAGTATGACAACTTACCAACTTCACTAAGTCGCCACATTTACTAGAAAATATTTATTTTATATCTATAGTGATTTATATATAGAACTACATCACATTATACTATAATTATTCTTTAGTTTACTGGAGAATCATCTATTAAATACTTTACTATTATATAAAGTATCAAATACTTAGATAATATATTATGCATGACCAATGTGGCATTTCTAAAATATATTGGTCTTTAATTCTTTTTATGTTACAACTGATCAAAAGATCAAAGGAATCTGCAATATAAAACTGTATAGAACAAAATTTAAGTTTTCAAGAGCAGGACAATGATTATATATTAGAAGACTAAATAGAACATGAGTTTTAAAATGAGGTAATAGGAATAGTTTCTAAATAGTACTAATTAAACCTATTCTAAATTTTAATCAAGGGCTTTTTAATTCATAAATTTAAACTAAGTCTAACAGGTTATCTTTAGTAATAATTACAATTTTTAAAAGCTAGGTTATACAATGTTATTTTTGTTTTACTATAATGTTACAATGCTTTAATTTTTTTTTTTTTTTCAAGTTATGTAAATTATAGTAAGGTATATGACAAAATTAGATAATTTTTTAGGGAAGAGAAAGAGTAAAAATTTTAAAATTATATATAAAGATCTGATCAAAATATATATTAAAAGAGGGAAGAAAATAAGCTTCTGATAAAAAAAAAATCAGATAATAAATAACACTGCTCTAATTAGTTTGTCAATTGTTTTGAACAAAAAAATTTGCTTATATTTAACTATTGATATATTGAATATATATAATATACTTAAATAAATTGTTTATTAAATACAAATAATTTTATAAGATTTATTTATATTATTTTTTTTTTGTAGCTAAAAAGATAAATATTGAGAATAAGAGAAGGATAAATCATGTAAATACTGATCTTGTATATATGAATACTGTGAATTATGAGAATATGAATTTTGAAAGTATAAATCCTAAGAATATGAATCTTGAAAGTATGAATCCTGAGAATATGAATCTTGAGAGTATGGGTTCTGAGAATACAAACCTTGAGGATATGGGTCTTAAGAATACAAATTTTAAAAATATAAATCCTAAGAATACAAGTCTTGAAAGTATAAATCCTGAGAATAGTCTTAAGAATATAAATCTGAAGTGTATAAATTATGTGAAAATGAATTATAGAGATTATAAAAGAATGAATTATAAGAATTATAAGGAAATTGATTATAAGTAAATGAATTATAAGGGTTTGAAGTTTGATAATTAAAAACTAGTAATTTTTAATTGCTTTTTTGACTTTGCATATATATGTTTATATTTCTTAAGCAAATTTCTTAAAAATCTTAATTCCTTTAATATAACATTTAATTCTGAATTTTCATGTTCTTTTAGTAAATAATAGTTTGAATTACATTATATACTTTAGCAATATTACAGATGAGTCAGATATCTTATTCTCATCTTCAATTT